CAAAAATACTGGCAAAGTCAGGTATATGGATTGATCTTCCCACCACCTGCGATTCATAGAAAATTCCTGCTTTAAGTTCGCGTTCCTTTTTGGCGCCAGCATACTCGATGGGAGAAGAACCCTGAAGACTACATCCACTCCATCTTATAATCAGTGCATTGCCTGTATATTATTTCACAGTCGACAGCAATTCTATGAAATTGAAGTGGGTCCCCGTGCCAAGGCAATGCAATTGATCGTTAGCAATAAGTTTCCGAATAAAAACGGTTCAATGCCTCTGGCATCAGGAAATAAAGGAAAACCTTCAAACCGCGATGAAGAAGCCTAACAAATCTCTAAGCAAATCTCTGCGGCCTCGTCCAAGTACCCTTTCTGCCAACACGTAGAACGTACCGAACCAGTATTCAATATAAGCTAAACTACATATAAGCGTTTGTATATTACATTCCTTCTAAAATGTGCCTAACACTTTTTCGGCCATTCACAGCTCCTAAGGGTATGGTTGATGCTAACAAGGAATTGATCACCGTCGGTCTCTGCAATCTTGCCGGTTCCTGCGTACAATCTATGCCCGTATCAGGCGCCTTCTCGCGTTATGCCATCAGCAACGCTTGTGGACTCAGAACTCCAATGGCCAACTTGTACCTGGGTGAGTTTGACCATTACAATTCAGTAATTCTTCGTACTAATATTTATATTCCGATATCGCGCAGGTGTAATTGTGCTACTGGCTTTGGGCTTTCTCAGTCCCTACTTCAACTACATACCCGAATCAACGCTTGCCGCCATTTTGATGTGCTCCATTGTAACTTTGCTGGACCTGCAGCTACCACAGCGTTTGTGGCGCGATGCTAAGCGTGATTTTTGCGTGTGGGTGCTGTGCTTTACTGTCTGCATCCTATGCGGCGTGGAAGTGGGCCTGCTAGTCAGTATTATAGTGACAGTCTTACATTTACTATTCCTATGGGCGCATCCTGTGATCTCAGTGCATGTAGAAGAGGTAAGAGGAGAAGAGGAGATAGGAAGCATTTTTTTTCAATTTCTAACTGCTACACACTTTGCAGGTCAATGAGCTGCAATTCATACGCGTCACGCCCACTGGCGTCATCTATTTCCCCGCCATCAATCATTTGCGCGCCAAAGTGCTGAAAGCATGCGAACGCGTCAACTTCAGTCTACCTGTGGTTATGGATTGTCATAAGATCACCGGCATCNGTGGGTAGTGGACCGCTCCTCATCATATACCGGCTAGAAGCGGAAAAACAGAAACTAATACAAGCCACTGACAAGCTGATCTTCTGTAATGACGATGTGAAGCTGGAAGAATGCATAACGCAAGAATCATTGAAGAATGGGAATTTCGTGATGAAAGAACCTATGAAATCTACAAATAGTCTGCTAGGCGGGACCCATTTAGATATGCATTATTAGAGTAAAGTGTAGGTAGGGAAAAGAAGAAGAAGAAGAAGAAGAAGCGAATGGGGAAGGGGAAGAGAAGCAACATTGCAAGTGAGTCTTTGTGATATG